AATATATACAATTTGTTTAAATAAAGATTATTAATAAAGTTTTTAAGATATTAGCTTTGCTAGAATTTGGGATTTGGAATTTGGGATGATGGACAAATCTCAAACTATAGTAAGTCAGAATTTTGCCAACATGTATAGCTTGATCTACTCTCATTGTAATTATATAAATATATGTTGTATTTAATAAAAAAGTCTTTTGGCCAGAGAGGTCACCTTAATATCAAAAAAATAATAATAATAATAATAAAGTTGTACAATATATATTATTTTAAAAAATTTAACTTTATATATAACTAAAAATTTTTCTAGATGTTATATGTTTTTTTCTAGTTATACAAAAAATTACTAATTATGATTGGTCAAATTACATGTTGTTTATATATAAATTATATAATACTATATAATATTGGTTATACAATATTGATCTATAATCTATTTTATATAAATTTAAAAATAGTTACACCCTATTTTTAAAGTTTTAATTCTTAATTTTAAGTAGAAGAATAGAAATTTTTCACTAAAGTTGATTAATTCTTTACTATGTTTTTTAAGTTAAATAACTAACTCACTCTATTCAATAATATAATTGGTTAAAATAATTTTTTAAAGATTAAAGAAGATTCTACTAAGTAAAGAGTTTTTAAAGTTGTAAAAGAGGTTTTTTGATTCTAATAGTAGTTAGATCATTAAAATTGACTTGGTGAATCCCAAGATATTTAAAATTAAAGAAAAGAATATAAAGATTTACAATTTTATTATTATACAAAACACAATACTTTGTATAATAGTGAAATTATAGATCCTTATATTCTCTTCTTTAATCTTAAATATTTTGGGATTCACCAAGCCAATTTTAATAATCTAATTACTATTGGAATTAGAAAAACCTTCTTTACAACTTTATTTAAAACTAAAAAAACCTTTTACTTAGTAGAATCTTCTTTAATCTTTAAAAGATTATTTTAACTAATCATATTATTGAATAGGGTAAGTTAGTTATTTGACTTAAAGAACATAGTAAAAAATTGATTAACTTTAGTAAAAGATTTCATCTCTCTACTTAAAATTAAGAACTAAAACTTTAAATAAAAAATTATTAAATACTAAAGAATATATATTTAAAATTTGAAAAAAATTTATATATATATTTTTAAATAAATTTGATTTTAACAATTTTTTGTAAAAATTTATATATAAAATTAGATGTATCAATTTATTTAATTTATAAATAATGATATTCTAAGCTCTCATATATAAACATGTCCTGTGATTGATATTCTTATTTATAAACTAATAAATTAATTTAGTAAACTGGTTTATAATTTTAATTTACTCTAGTTTATTAAATTTTAACTTATAGTACTTCAAGTTGAGTTAAAATTAAACTATATAGAGTAATATATTTACAAATATAAAAAATCTAATACTGTTGATTCTCTCCAAACCAATTTTGTCAAAACTAATAATTTGTTATAATTAGTTAAAAATCAATCTATTAGGCTTGTTTTTTAATTTATATCTAATAATCTAATATTTTTGATATCTAATAGTTTAAATATATAAGTTTCTAATTCATTATATGTGGCCATATGATTAATAACCAATCAGAATCATGAATTTAATAAGGTATGAAAAAATCAATAGATTTTTATAAAACCTGTCAAATTTTCTCAAACTTTGACAGAAGATTTCTTAAAAATTACTTATTTAATCAGCTTAAATCTTTACTATAGATAATATATATATTCATTTATAACATACAAAAATTTCAGCTAATTTGAATTAATAGTTCTTGAGAAACCACTTGTATATGATAGACAATTTTTTAAAAAAATTAACTATCATATACAAGCAATTTCTCAAAAACCATCAATCCAAATTAGCTAAACTTTTAATCTATTATAAATAAATATATAAATTAAATACAATAAAAATTTGAGCTTATTTGAATCAGTAGTTATCGAGAAAACGTCTGTCAAAATTTGTTTAGTACTGGTTCTGTAATTTGATTTGTAGATTAGCAATCATCTTGTCATGTGGTTTTCCAAATTCGATAACCTCCCAAAGCCGATACAAAACCTGTTCACTATGCATACCGGTTTGGGGAGGGCCGACAGTATACAAAACTTATCGTTATTATATAAATAAAAACTTGGCATCTTTATAAAAAAATGCTAGCCTAAATAGCGCTAGCACAGCATAATATAATGGTGCCTAGCACAATACTCATAATTCCTAGCACTAAATCGGATACTAATTACATAGCACAGGATGCACATCATAAGTACGTCACTAGTTAAAGAAATTATATATACTGTATCATTTATCTAACCACCTATATATTTTCTTAATGGTATTTATTATCAACCAGGCATTAAACCTGAAACCGCTCATCATGAAAAACCACCATACTATGAGGATTTATGGTAATATATAGTGTTCTTTAATAATTTATTAATTTCAAATAATCTGATTGGTCAGTTCGAAATACTACTTCCTATAGATCCAGTATACAAATACAGTACTGGACATATAATACTGTACAAACTATTTATAATGAATTTTAATTTATAAAATAAAAGCTTTTGAAGTACTGATTTTCTATTTATTTTTATACCGAACTTATAAAATGTTTGAAAAAAAAGTTTTTTATTTGTGTTATAAGGGCGTGCCCAGACGATGGCAAAATCGAACAACCGATTTTTTAGAAAAAATCAATTGGTCAAGCTGATAATTTGTTTAGCCATTATCGACCATAATTATTATTTTTTTTGTTAATTAGGTTTATTAAGCAGAGATTCAGTAGAATTTCAGAACAAAAAGGCAAACAATATCAAGAACTTATAAAATAAAATTTATAAAGAAACTAGATTATTATAAATTATCATGTTTAGCTTCAATAATAATATCAACATGATCAATTCAAAAATTTATTTATTAGTTATATATATTAAAATAAAAATGTTAAAACTAGTAAAATTACTAAACCTACAAAATTGCTAAATACAAAACAGGATTGTATATATTTTTAATGCCCAAAGTCTTACTTGGCTTGTCCAAAACAAAAACATTATACATGTTTTAATATTGTTTAAAAAATTAAATTATAAGACTGGTGTGTTATTTAAGACAAATAAATATTCGGTTTTGACATTTTAATCACGCCTAGATAAAACAGATAACAATAACGATAAGATCTCTTTCAAAGACAAAAAGAAGATAATCTTCACAGGCAATAAATAAATAGGTAAACAAAATTTTGTATATGAATTAAGTTCTAGGCTTTTATAAGATTAATTATTATCTTTAAACAATAATTTCTTATACACCCAACTTCCCTTTTCTTTATATTTATTTTCTAAATGTGATTTATTATTAATCAAGTCGTAAAGAGATAGGAACTCATCGTCTTCTTCCAGCCAATCAAAAAATTGGAGAACAGTTTCTTCTCCACGTTTAACTTTTTCACGTTGGCGTTGTTCAATTTCGCCCTGTCAACGACAAAAAAATTAACAAATAAATAAATATTAATTTATATGATTAATGATAAATGCATGCAATAAACGATTCCTTACCTTTAGTTTAGAAGCTGTTGAAAAATCACCCTCATTTATTGCATTTGCAACGTGTTGCCATAACCTTATACTTTCTAATTCATTTTGCTTCTCTATTGGTTCTATAATAGGAGAGGCTCTTTTTGAAGCACCCACATCAAGGAAAACGGATTTTTCGTTTGTTATGTGATTCTCTAAAATGGATTTTCCAGACCAAGTTCCAGAAGCAGTGTACAAAGGATCTTTCGAATCATTACGGCGTATCACGCTAGAAAACGTGTGTTTCTCACCAGAAATCCACCCTCTACCACTAAATTCAATAACAGTGTTAAAATTCTGAGATTGAATCACGCTCGTACCACTATATAATAATATTATTAACAAGGTAAAATAATATAAAATAATATTAACAGGTATTATATAAGTAAAATTGACCAATATAAAATATTATGTAATTTACAACAAACCTTAATTCTACATAAGGGGCACCTCTCCATAAACCAAGAATTTGTAAGGATGGTAACATTATCAAATATTTATCATCATAATCCCGTAAGTGAACGATAATGTGACCAACTTGTATGACGTCAATACGCGCAGCCGTAGCCCTAAATTGAGTTTTTTGACCAGCTTTTTATTTGTAAAAAAATATTTTAAGTATTAATTGTATTAATTAAATTAAATAGATCTACAAATATGATAAATAAAAAACGTTGAAAGTACATACTATGACCATTCGCTGAAACTCCTGCGTGCTTATTTTCAAGATATATTGCAGAAACTGGTGGATGATGACTAACTTGTTCTGAAAACAAGACAGTTTCACCACAGCCATTAATTTCCTCCCATTTAGCCAAGAATTGTTCACCTATATACCATTGGTCATTGTGTTTAAATTAGAAAATTGAATATTAAAATTCTATAACTCGATGTTGACTCAATATCTACACTAGAATTCTAAGCAATAAAACCTTACCGAGAATAGGATTAAAAGGTTTTTTCTCGATTTTTTCTTTATCTTTCCTAGACGCGAAAGAACCATATAACGTACTCACAAACCATTTAAGAACAGCCAAAGCTCTCTCGGCTTCGTCGGTAGGTTTAGAAATAGATGCAAAGAGTTCAGGGTAATCTGCCCAGTATTGACTTTTTCGGAATAGTAAAAGAAAATTCGTCAAAAACGGTATAAAGAGGAACACAAATATTTATACTTACATACCCATACTCCAAGGTTGAAACACCAGACAACAGGAAACTAGGACATGTTAAACTATATATATCACCGGTAAACGTGGAAAGAGTTTTTAAAAAACCACTATATTCATTTTTGCTTGACTCAGGAATTTTAGTTTCTTGGTCGTTATCCACACTATTATTATTTGTTTTTTCATTTTCACCCATTTTGTTTTTTCTTATTAAATTAAAAAAAAAAAATTTTTTTTAAAAAGTGTTAGAAAATGTATATTCGATAAATATTGTTTTTTTTCGTAATTTGGTTCTTCACATACATACCGTGAATTTATTAAAACTCTATTGTATTTCTGTATGTAATAATGCATAATTTTAATATCGATACGTACGTACAGGTAAACAGAATATTGATATTAATTACGTTAGAATCACATGTTCAACTTCTAAATACGAGTTACACATATACAATAAATATATATTATACAATACCATCATTAAATTATTTATCAGCAAAAAAGATTCAAAAGGTTTAGTTATTGTGAATAGGAGAGAAAATAGCCAGTTTATATACAGTAAATGAAGCGAGGGATTAATATTCGCGAGGACGTGAATGCCAAGACCTCGTTTTTATTGTTTTTTTATTGATTACTGATTTAATGCTTAAATTCAGAAATTTGTACTTTTGGTGCATCGACGGGAAATATAAAAATCCTGACGGACGACGGACTTAGTGATTTTCCGGGTCACATGAAATCAATATGAAGCGTAATTCTGTGGTATTTAGTGTGATTAAATAATTTCTTGTATTCCGTGGTAAATCGCTGTTTTAAAAAAAATTCCGTGATTACAGAAAAATTTTTTGTTTGGCAGTTCTCCTTCAAAATAGATGTTTTTGGATCTTCCAAGGATTGTGAAGCCAAAAAATTCATAAATTCTTTGATTTGTTCGTTACCAGAAATTCATACAGCTTTTCGGAAATTATTTTTCTGTCTTCAAAATTTCGATCCGGAGCAACGATGCAGTTCCAATAAATTTTTTGAGCTACGTACGTAAGTTACGTACATCAAGTTACCAGTTACGGCAAAATCCGTAGGAGTCCTATTGTGCCATAATAATAATTAGTTACGTAACTTTAATCAATGACATAACTTAAACTTTTATTTAACTATATTAGTCACACGATTTGTCACGCAGATCACGAGGTAAATTTTTTAATATAAGATTTGAGTGATCGACGCTCATATAAAAAAATCGATTTTCATAATGGTAAGACGTTTTCAATCCTATTTTTCAAGAGTTTCCAAAAAGGAAAGTGCATTTGGGGTCAAATTTAGCGAATCACAAAAGTAATTATTTTTTCATAATCAAACTTAAAACGAGGTATAAAGCAAACTCAAAAAACATCATGCCTATGAAGTTGGCTTATTGTTTTAATTTTGTATATATATACTTATAACAAGAAATCTAACTAGCAAAATTTTTTTAATTTAAAAAAAATAATAGTTAATGAATCAGTAAGTATAAAGCTATTTCTTATGAAACCAAATCTTAAAGTATAAACCTGACATTTCTAAATCCTTTAACCATTAACTTTTAATTAATGCAAGTATTTTTTAAAAGCTTTAATCTACTTGCAATATAAGCTAAATTTTACTAGTTCAACTTTAACAGATCCAACCTTTGCTGGTATTTGCCTAGGTTATAAACCCAAAATTAGTTGCGAAGTTTCTCAATTATTTTTGGATCTGATAGATAAAAGCTTAGACACAGAATCTATAAAGTAGTAAAATAGTTTTATTACTATTAGTAAAACTAGTGTTAAATTAATAAAATTGGTGAAACTAATTTCATCAGTGCCTTTATGCAGAATCTCAAAACAAACCAACTATTAAACATTTTAGGAAAGGGTTGTAATGATTCGTATCTTTAACATAGGCAAGTTGATATTTTTCAATATTTACTATTTTATTGATTAAAAAAAAAAAGAATTTGTATAGATTTTTCACCCACCTAGTATAGTAATTACTAAGTGACTAGAAATTTTTTTAGCAAATAATGATTATAAATAAATCATATAAGTCACATTTTTGTGTCTAATAACAATAATTTCCAATAGTCATACTTTATTTAACATTAGATAAATATATAGCTTGCTAATTATATTGTTATATTAGCGGTATATTAGTATTTTTAAATTTTTATTAAGTAACTCTGTGTAACTTCTAATTGTAGTACAAA